TTAATTGCAATTGAATTTGAATTTTTATTGAATTCTGGTTGAATTGCAAAAAAATATTAACTTTCTATTGAATTTGCACTTTTATTGAATTTTCATTCAAGTAGAATTTTTATTGAATTGTAATTTAATTGAAGTTAAAATTGAAATTGAATTCCTATTGAATTGAAACTGAAATTTTATTGAATTTGCACTTTTACAAAATTTCAATTGTATTTTAATTGAATTTGTCTTTAATTGCAATTCAATTACAATAGAATTGAATTTTTATTGAATTTTGGTTCAATTGCAATTAAGATTAAATTGTAATGGAATTGCAATTTAATTAAAAAATTTTATTGCATCAAATTGTAGTTGAATTTCAATTAAATTTGAATTGCAATTGAATTAATATTGAGTTTTAAAAATTGAACTTTAATTTTCTCAAATTCCTATTTAATTCAAAGTATTTAATTGATTTACAGTTGATTTTGAATTTTCATTTAATTATAGTTAAATTGAAATTAAATTTCCATTGAATTGTAATTGCTTTACAGTTAAATTTGAATTTTTTTGAATTTTAACCGAATATTAAATTAAAATTAATTTAATTTCAATTTTTATTGTATTGTAGTTGACCGAACTGAATTGAAATTGAATTGAAATTAAATTGAAACTGATTTGAAATTGAATCAAAATTGAATTGAAACTGAATTGAAATAGAATTGAAATTGAATTATAATAGAATTCAATTATAATTGACTTGAAATAGAATTGTAATTGATGTGAAATTTATCTGTAATTGAATTATAATTGAATTGAAATAGAATTGCAATTGAATTATAATTGAATTGAAAAAGAAATTAAATCAAAATTAAATTGAAACTGAATTGAAATTGAATCGAAACTGAATCGAAATTGAATTATAATAGAATAGAATTGAATTGAAACTGAATTGGAATTGAATCGAAATTGAATTGAAATGGAATTACAATTGACTTGAATTAGAATTGCAATTCAATTATAATTAAATTAAAAAAGAATTGCAATTAAAATAAAATCCGTTATTCTTGTCTATATAGTTTTGCTTCTAAGGCCCATATTCGACCCATTTTCCATTTTTTTTTTCATTAAGGGATTTAAATAAACCAAAATAATAAATAAATCCGATTTATACATTAGAGATAAATTGGCAGAGACGTGCGCTGCGTGCACGACCTACCGCAACGCATCTTGATCTCGGTTCGAATGGAGAGGGAGTTAAAAACGTGCGGTGGCAAGAGTAGCGGGTTATCGGGGTGAGAGGAAATAAACTTGACGCTGCTAAAAGGTGGGGAATATAATGGGGTATAATTGTCGCAAAGCAATGCGAGGACAGTGCACCATTACTGCATTTTTCTTAGTGTTTCTTGTCTCCTTAACGCGAGAGATGCAACTTCACATGGAGCATCATCCGTATTTCTTTTCGCGCTCTCTTGCACTCTTAGTCGCGCCCGCGCAACTTTTTTTCCCTCTGATTTTAACTCTTTTGCCAACATTATAGTGCCCCGTAGAATTCTCAAGAATTTCACTCTGCAACTCTAGAATTCCACCTCATTTTGACTCTCTAGAGTCTCATTGAGTGGAGTCTCTTTCTCTCTCATCATCATTTTTCACACGCACCTGGAGAATTTTCCAATTTTTCAATCAAAAAAAAAAAAAAATAATTCACTCGAAGAAAATAAATTAAAGCGTTATTATTATTTTATTATTTATTTATTATAATAAATAATAGAAATATTAAAAATTTAAAAATTTAAAAATTCGGTTTAAGAAATCTATTTATTTTCCGGAAAAATTCATTCAAAGAGTCTAAAAAGTTTGAAGGGGATAAAAATATCGAAAAGGAAAGTAAATTAAAAATTGAAATCCGTTATCAAACTATTTAAATTTGATTATAAATAATAAAATTATGAATATTGACGAACATTTTGAGATTCAATATGGAGACACTATTCTCCACCTGCGAACGCCAAGGTCACCGCTAGATGGAATTTACGCTTTCCTGGAATTTCTCCTGCCACCTGGTGGCGACCTTGGCGTTCTCAAGTGGAGAAATTAAACACCATTTTATTCCTTAAAATTTTTTTTTAAATTAATAATTTTGAATAGAAAATATTTAATAATTAATAATTTTCTTTCAAAAAAAGAAAAGTAAAAATAAAAAAAAGATGTGAATAAGTAAATAAATGAAAATATATAAAAAATAGAATAAAAAATATTAAGAAAAAGAATTAGAAAAATTTTTCCGTCTTCTGTAAGACTGTTTATAATAAATAAATTAACAAATAAAAATGTAGAGAAAAGATATTAAAAAAAAAAAATTCTGAATATTCATTTAATTTAATTATTAATTAATTAGTTAATAGTCAATAATAGTAATTTAGTAATTTATAAATAGTAATTAATAATTAAATAGCGACTTCAATTTAACTTTTTTTTTCGTATTAGAAAAAAAATTTCTGTTAAATTCGATTTCCCCTTTAAGGGAACATGGAGTGGAGGGGGGAATTTGCGTGCTAAGATTGTTCATCTTTGGAGAAGAATCGAAGAGGGTTTTTTAAAAGCCTCTCTTTAACATGCGTTAAGTATACGATGCGTCTTCCTTGGGGATTTTTTTTCCTCTTTTAAAAAAGTGTGTGCCGTGCGCGTCCGTTTTGTACGATGATCCACGTGTTTATGTTAAAATTTTCAACACCTCGAAAGCATGGCGCCACCCACTTTTAGCCACTTAGGAGAATAAAGTTATTTACCCCTCTTTTTCATTCTCTCCCCCCATTCGAGATTTTTAATTTTCCAAAATTATTATTCGAAAAAAATCACAATTTTATTTTCATTTCTTTCAATTTTTTTTTATAAATTGCAAACTTGGCAATTTTTTCTATTCTACATTTTATTATTTTACTTCAACATTCTGTCTTTATTTGTTTCGAAATTTGTTTTATTTTTATTTTCTATTTATTTGCTTATAAATTATATTTTTTAATATACAGAAAAAAAATTTATAGACAAAATTTATTTTTTATTTATTTCATTTAAAATTTTTTTGTTATTAAAATTTATTAAAATATAAATTAAAAATTAAAAATAAATTAACATATAAAAATATTGAAAAACCACCAATATTTATCGTCATTAAGAAATAAAATACAATCACACAAAAAAAATACACCGATGAGATATTTTTCCCGTTACATTTTTTTCTTCTCTTCTTTTTTTTTCTCTTCTTAAATTGCAATAAAGTGAAATTACCCGAAAATATTCATGATATGGGATGTTATTCGGAAATAATAATTGAAGAGATGTATACATTTTTTTGATATTCTCTCTGTGTGTATGATTTTACATCGTAAGAATATATGATGAAAGTCGCATTCTCAATGGACTATCAACAATTGGGCGCAGTTTGAAAAAGGGGGATATAAAGGATAAAGAGAGTATATAAAAAGATGATTAAATGCAGAGTACATTTGAGTGTAATCCAGTACGAAATTTGTTGAATTTTGTTGTCGCAAGGCCCCTCATCAAGGGTCGTAACTCCTGAAATGATACGGCCACTTGCGGACGTCTAACTTTGAAATTTCTCTGAGAGGATGTAATTCGCGTCCATTGAGAGGAGGACCAAAAACAGAGCCCGAACGATCATTATATAGGGCGGTTCCAATCGAAATTCTCTATTTTTTTTTCTTTCTCTTTTTATTCTTTTCTTTCTTTTTTTGGCCCTCCAAGTGCACTAATTCTCCCTCCCGGAAGCTTTCATTTTCATCTCACGAGTTTATGTGCGAGTGAATTTTTTTATTCAATTGCAGTTATCTTTGCAATTGAGTGATTTTTTTTCTTTTGATTTTTTTTAACTTTGCATTTCTTTCTTCTTTGCATTTTTTTCTTCTTTTAATTTTTCTCTCTTTTGGTTTTTTTTCTCTTTTGGTGTTTTTTCTACTTTGGGTATTTTTTCTCCTTTCAATTTCTTTCTCTTTTGGTTTTTTTCTCTTTTCGTACTTTTTCTACTCTAAGTATTTTTTCTTCTTTCGGTTTTTGTCTATTTCGATTTTTTCTCCTTTCGTATTTTTCCTTTAGTTTTTTTTTTTGCTTCTTTAAGTTTTTCTCCTTTGCTTTTTTCCCTTTAATTTTTTCTCCTTTGATTTTTTTTCTCTCTATTTTTTCTCTTTTAGTTTTTTTTTCTTTTTTGGGCTTTTCTGTTTTCGATTTATTTTTCTTTTGGTATTTTTCTCTTTTTTCTGCTTTTTTTTCTTCTTTGACTTTTTCATTTTCCGATTTTTCTTCTTTTCACCTTTAATTTTTTTCTTCTTTCGGTTTTTTTCTCTTCTATTTTTTTCGTTTAGTTTATTTTCTTTCTTTGAATTTTTTTTTCGATTTTTTTCGTTTGGTTTATTTTTTTTTGTTAAATTTTTTTCTCTTCGATTTTTTCCCTTTTTGGTTTTTTTCTCCCTCAATTTTTTTCGCCTCTGATTTAATTTTCGTCTTCGATTTTTTTTTAATTCGTCTTCTTTCCTCCTTTGATATTATACTTTCAATTGAGCGTAATTCTTTATGGGCGAAAATTTGGTGCTTAAAGAAGTGCAAATTCCATCTACTATGTACTCTCAACTTATCATTATGAATTGATCTCATACACAGTTATTATCCTTTCGATTCAGGAACTTTCTCCTGTAATTTTTGTTTTTAAACATTTTTTGTAAAAAAAATATTTTTTTTTTTTTTTTATTTCGATCCAATTTCAAAACTGTTTTTTTCGAATAAATTTTCTAAAGTTTACAATAATTAATCACTAGAATTGTAAACAATAATTAAATAATTATAAATAGTAATTAAATAAATAATTACAACAATTAATAATTATTTAAAAATTACAAGGGGGGATTTCTACTATTTTTTTTTTAAATTATAATTTGAATTAATAAAATTTTTTTAATTATTAGTTGCTTTTGAAAGACAATAGTTCTTTCTAATCAAATTAAGTTTAGTTCTGTTTGTTGTAGGGCTAGCCAGCCTACTATTTGCCTTCCTCGTCATATCGGTGAACGGCGCTCCAATGAGCCTTGGGGAAAAGAGGATGACTTCACAGGAAAAGTGGCGGTCACCTTGTGGTGAAGCTGGTCAAGCGTCCGTCGACTATGAGGGCGATCAGGACGTCGAACAAATAAGTGACAAACAACTTATGGTTCAAATTTCCATGCAAGCAAGAACTGCCCTGCTGCATGCCGAACTCTTTTTAGGAACTTATGTGAGTACCCATTTTATTTAACAAATAATTATACATATTTCTCCTACTAATTAGAATAATATCAATTTTTCAAAATAAATTTTTATATTTTAAACGATATTTACCCCTACTAATTAGGATAATTATTTTAAGGGATTTTTTTCAAGTCAAATTTATATTTAATCGATGTTTATTGTTTATTCCTACTAATTAACATAATTGTTAAAATATTTTTAGTAGAAATCTAGAAATAAGAAAAGGGGGAAAGAGATAAAAATAGGAAGAAAAAAAAATAGGGGAGAGAAAATAAAGAAACCAAAAATAGGGAGGGACAAAATACAGACAGAAAAAAATATGTAGAAAATAAGGGGAAAGAAAAAATAGAGAAAGTGAAAAAAATAGGTAGAAAATAGGGAGAGAAAAAAATGAAAAAATAGGGAAAGAAAGAAAAAAATATGGAGAGGGAAAATAGTTACAAAAATAGAGGAAAAATAGGGAGAGAAAGAAAAAGGTGAGTAAAAATACAGAAAGAGAGGAAATATAGGGAGAGAGAAAAATAAAGAAAAAAAGGAAATACAGAAAGAGAAAAAATAGAGGAAGAAGGAAAAAATAGGGAATAAGAAAATAGAGAATAGAAGAAAAAATAGGAAAATAAAAAATACAGAAAGAGAGAAAAATAAAAAAAAAATATGGAGAGCATCAAATAGGAAGAGAAAAAATGAAGGAAGATAGAAAAAATAGGGATATAAAATAGAGATAGGAACAAAAAATAGGAAGAGAGAAAAAATAGAGAGGTAAAAATAAAAAGAGAGAAAAAATAGAGAGGTAAAAATAGAAAGAGAGGGAAAATAAGGAGAGAGAGAAAATAGGGAGAGAAAAAAATAAAGAAAGAAACAAATAGAAAAAGAAAAAATAGAGAAAGAAGGGAAAAATAGGAAGAGAAAATTAGGAAGAAAGAAATAGGAAGACAGAAAAAATAGGGACAGAGAAAATAGATAGACAGGAATAAAGAGCACCAAATCGCAAAAAAAAGTGGGAGAAAAAAAATGGTTTGCTTGATTATAAGACGTTGAGAGTTGAGTCGGCGCTTTTGTCTATATTCGTGACCCGAGAAATGATCATAAAGACGAAAAGTATAAGAATCCTATATTTCTTCGCGTGCTTGGTCACCGGAAATGATACCCTCTCTCTCTCTCTCTCTCTCTCTCTTTTTTTCTCTATCCAAGTGTGGATATTCGAACACACGTTTATTGTTAATCTGACGTATATATCAATGCGAGTTCGCGACGTCCTTACCTGCCCGCCTGATATATCACTGGAACACCCACGGAATTACTAATTCAATTAAGTTTTGATCTGCCGTCAACCGAAATAAGCTGGGTCGCATTCCCTCCCATTGTTTCACTGTACCATTTATCTCCGAATTAAAATTAAACATTCATTATCTTCGAATTAAAATTAAAAATTCAATATTTCCGAATTTTTAATAATTGGAAGGTTGTATTAAAAATTAGGTTTCGAAAATTCGGAGTTGATATTAAAATATTTATCGAATTTCAAAAAAAGTATTTTTATTTATTTATTTCTAAATTATTTATTTATTTGTCAATTCAATTAAAATATAAAAATTTGAAACTTGATATTAAAATATTTATCGCGTCCTGAAAGATTTTAAATAAAAAATAATTCGATCATTTAAATCAAAATTTTTCGTTGAATCAAATAAATATTTAGTTAGGAATAAAAAATTGTTAGTATTGCAATAAAATATAGATATTTGATTAGTCCGGCCAAAGTTTGATTATTTCAAATAAATTTTTCTCTGGAGTGTAGAATCACCCGACCGATTTTTGTCGAAAATAATTTTTAGTTAATTATTTTTTGTTTATTTGATTTTTTATTTATTCTATAACAAATAAATTATTATTATGTAAATAAATTATTTTTATTATACAAACAAATTATTATTATTATATAAACAAATTATATTATTATTATATAAACAAATTATTATTATTATATAAATAAATTTGAATTCCATTTGAATTGAAAATAATTTTTGAATTCAAATGAAAACATTTTTTCTGATTAAATATTTAAATAAAAAATTCCACTAAAATAAATTCTAGTTGGGTCTCTCGAATTTATACAAAAAAAAGTAAATAAAAATAAACTACATTGACAAGAGCGTTAAACTTTTTAAACTTTTGAATACAAAATTTAGAAGATGTGTGATTCCGAAAAGAAATAACAGTTAGATTTCAACGTCTCTATTTGCGAATTATTTCTTGTACTCATTTTGCACATGGATCATCGCTTTTCCCCTTTCTTTCTATCTATCTTCTCTCTTTTTTCTTCTTCTTCTTCTTTTTTTTCAAAAAGGAGACAATTTTACCGCCGTGAAATTTTTTTATGTAAATATTTATAAAAAAAACAAAGAAAAAAAGGATAGATTATATCGTGGGATCATTTGCTAGATAAGGTAATATGGTTATGTGTAAGCAAAAGCATTTTGGGTCTAGTCACGCATTAGGCAAAATTTCATCCATATAATTATGATGGAAAAGCATACTCTCACGTAGATGAGACTCTTTCGGAATATTCAATGATCATTAGATCTTTCATTATTATATATATTCATTTTGTAGTCATTTTGGACCACGTGGAAGTTATTGCACATACGGATTAGAGGAAATCATTTTTTTTCTTCTTTATTTGTATAAATGTGAATTTTAATTATGGAGAAAAAATGCAGAAATTGTTTTCACTTCTTCGATTCAATTAATGTCCGAGGTACTTATAAAGCGAACGAGACAGAAAAAGAAAACCGCAGTTCTTATTGTGGTTGAAGATGAAATTTTAGCTGATGGATAAAGAAAGAAAGCCACTAATGGTACTACTTCTTAAACTGAGAATTTAAATATCAATTTATTTAGAGAAAAAATTAATGTTTTGCCAAAAAATAAACCGAAAAAGTTAGAACATAAAAATAGCATAATTTTAATTTTGCTAAACTTTTTCGTTTTATTTTTTGGCAAAGAATTAATTTTTTTAGTATAAATTGAAAATCGCATTTATATTAATTGTTAAACTTTCTGGATTCATTGTGTGATTATAAATATGATTCAATATGGAGATTCTGTTCACCTGCGAACGCCAAGGTCACCGTCAGATGGCAGTTGTGTTGACAAAACTAGATTCTGCGCCATCTGGTGACGATCTTGGCGTTCTCAAGTGAAAAAGGCTTGAAGTTTACAAAATACTTAAAAATACTCCAAACAAATTGAAAATAATACAGAAATTCTTTGAAAAAAATTTAAATTCCAAAACAAAAAATATAAATAGACAAAATGCTCCAAATTAAAAAAAGAAAAACTTCCTTCTCCAGCACCTCGTCAACAAAGAAAAAGAGAACAAATTCAAAAACTAGATTCACTTTCAATGAGGACATTAAAAAAAAAGAAGAAAATTAAAAAAGAGAAGAACACTTATATTTTATTTCAAGGTTCCTCAATGTGCGGTATTATTAAAATTTCCCAAGATCTCTCAAAAGAAATGAAAGATTGAAGTGACGCATATATTCTTTCGTAGGAAAGTAAAATGGCATTCTTTCTTAAAAACAAGTTGACATTTTTAACTGTAAATGTACGTGACACTATTCCTTATCAGACAAAACAATAGAAATGTATATAAAAAAAAATTGTCGTGGGATTTTTGCACCTTTCAGTTCAAAACATATATATAAATTCTCCAACCCTATTTATATATATTTCAAACCAAGCAGCATTCATTGTATCTTACATCATCATACAACTGATGATGATGATATTGGAGATGAGGATGTTTTCTAACTCAGCGCATATTACAATAACACACCGAACAATTTTCTATATTTGAAACACATTATAAAGAATCCGCGTGAGAAAAAAAATTTCAAATGTTGATAAGAGGGAAAATTAAAAAAAAAATCTTCGCTCTACAGCATCAAGTAATCAAGATCGTGAGATCTTGATTACTTGATGCTGTAGAGCGAAGATTTTTTTTTTCAACTGCACAGGTGCGAGAACTTGACTGATATCGAAAGGCGACACACTGTCTGTGCTGGTCCAATGACGTCATTATCGTCTATCGTTTCTTGAAACAAAGACAGAGGGTTTTATTCAAGAGAGAGAAAGTGCCAAATATTCTGATAAAAATTAATAAAAAAAAAAAATTATACATGTGTTCGTATGTATGCGAATAATCTTTTCCGATGTTCGAAAATAGAATCGAGTGGTTGATTTTTAATTTTAGAGGCACTAGAAAAATGTTCTCTCGGACACAAATATAAAATATGTCGATAAAATTTTGTATAATATTCATGTTTAGATAAAATTGAGCATAAAAATATGAGAGTCGATGCATTTTGTTCTTGGGATCAATTAGGATCGATTTTTACGAGGTCCAATAAAAATGAGACTTGGTTGATAATTCTTACTATTCTTTTTTTACTAAAATGTTCAGTAATTTTTAACTGATTCAAATTTAGAGAGTTAATAATTTTCAATATTAATTTGATTTTTCTAATTCAAAATGACAATTGAATAACAATTTTTGAAAATAGTTAATAAATAAATAATTAATTAGTTTATCTTTATCGTTCGAGATTTTTTATAAAACAAGGTTAATAAAAAATTAATAAAAAATAATAAGTAATGATAAATAATTAATAACGTGAGATCGGAAGTAAAAATAATGGATTCTTGACGAGAGTGAATGTATATATAAAAAAGCAAAGTGAATTTTCTGCATGAGGCGAAGAAAAGAATGCCATGTGTGTGTGTCTATAAGCAAAGGGGATCGTAAAATATCGGAAGCGAAGGATTCCAATAAATCAGAATCGGAAGCTGCCCCACCTCAATTGAAGGCACCTACCAACATTGAAACATTTCCTGCATACTAATACACCGCAGACCGGATACGATCAACGACAACTCGCCTTGATGCGCGGCTACACGACAATAAGCATCGAGCATTCTAAC